GTCCTTCCTTCACTTCTCCCCTAACCAGCCTCCCTGCTGTTAGCTAGCAGTCTTGCCTATTCTTTAAGTTCTCTTCTGCATTGCTAACGGGAGCCCTTTTCTTTACTTGATATTTTTCAAATTACAAAATTGGTACATGCTTTAACAAGTGAACAATACGGGAGTATATAAAGAATATGAGAGCTCTTTTTAAAATACAGATTTGATCATTTTACTTTTCTTCTGCTCAGAGTCTTTCAGGTTGCCTTCATAGCGCCACAAAGATAGGAAATGGTGGTTTAACGGATATAACCCTAGCACAGAATAAGTATAACACTGAAAAGTCCATTGGATAGTAAGTGGGAAGGGCCTCCCTCCAGTAGAACCTGACCAAGCTCAGTGCTAGGGCTGGTGGATGTGGAGAAGTAGTGGGTGGGCACCTGAAGTAGGGGGCAGACTGCAGTGCTCCCTGCTGCACAGAGCTGCTTCCTTCCTGCCCACGGATATCTGGACTGCTCGTCTGCAAAATTCAATTACAGTATCTAATTTCTTCTGCTCACCCCTTGCCTGAGCCTAAGCTAGTTGATTTAGGACCACAAAGCCTCAAAGAATTCACTTCAACACCTAATTTTCTCTTCCCACCCTCTAATAATGAGCAAACAGAAGAGCAGACCTCTTGAGAAGATTCAGTCATTCAATAGAAGGAGATAAACCTGAAGAAATTGCTATCTTGTCTTTGGAAGAGCAGGACCCATTCATGCTATGGGAAGCAAGTAGATAACCACAATAGCAGGTCCTGAACACTCTCTAGCTCTGCCTGACTTGATTCTGCACACCAGTCTGACAGCATGTGTCACTGCAGATGAAGCTTCAGCCAAATTTCACTTTATGTCACAGCTCTGAAGATTCTCTTGAAAGGTCAGAATCATAGAACATCACTAGGCTTCTCTGTTTTGTTAGCTCAGAAGTTCTGTTTTTCAATTCTATAGTATTTACTACCTAATCAGCACAATATTTTTACTATGAATCTTCCTATGCTTGTCTTGCTTTGAAAGCAGTATGTTCAAATATAAATGCTACTAGAAAATTACTGCCTTACAAGTCCATCTGGATATAATTATGCTAATGAATATTAAATAGAACTTAATATTCTCAGTTTTCAAGATAAATAATTTAAGAACAGTTATAAACAAGTATCATCAAGGCACTACATAAAAGAATATAGCAGCTTTAGAAGGGACAGAAGAAGTATGTCTGTTATCACCTGATTATTATAATGGTTTTAAATTTGTCTTTTTTAATAATGTTCCTTAAACATTTAAGGCTGACATGTGGGAAACATCTTTTTGCTCATTAATGTGTGATAATTGACACAGTAGAAAACTCTTCAATGTCTTTATATTTTATAAATTAAAAATTACTTTATAGTGTTAGGAGATGTATATATATGTATATGTGTATTTCTTTCAAAATTACAAATTCACTTACCTTTAATGCAGCAAATCCAGCAGTGTGCTTTCACACATTCAAAGTGACACATGTACATGGTTAGTCATCATAGTACCGTCTATAAAAACAAAAGACTAGAGAAAATTTAAGTGTAAAACAAAAAGGACCAGTTAAATAAACTAGGGTACATGTACACCATAGAATACCATATACCACATAGTGGTAAAGAACTAAGTCAAAAAATTACATATATATATATACACACACATATATATACACACATGTTTTCATATTCCTGTTTTTCCTTAATCCCACTGTGCTTTCAGTAAATAGTTTTGCCTCATAGTTCTCTAAGGAAATAAAAACTGTCACATAAGAATTCTCTCTCGTTTTCCCACCACCAAATTTGTTCAGTTGTCTGCTTTTATTCCTAACCTTGCCTTCCCTCCTATACTATGGGAGAAGTGTTTCTGCTTCTATCCAAGGTCAGCTTCTCCATTTTCACTCCAGTCCTACCCCTTTCTACTATTGTATATTGTCCCTTCCCCTTCTTACATGAAGAGTTTTCCTGGATCATTCTTGTCATCAGAATGTGCTCTTGTATTTCTCTAAGTATTGTGGAATCCTACATCCTTCTCCACCTGTTGACTCGTTTTTACAGTATTCTGTTCAAAATTCTGGACAGCACTGTCTGTAGCAGATGCTGTGCTTACTTATGTCACAGTCTTTCCTCAGCATACGCCGTTTGTGCTTTCGTCCCTACAATTCCTAGACACTGCTCTTGCTGGAGTCAATAAAGTATCTCCATGTTGCCAAATCATTGTCACTGCTGTTCCTATTTTACCTAAACTTGACTATTTCCTCCACTTTATTTTCCTTTAAGCACTCTTACATATGCATGATATGCATTGCGGTGTACTTTCTTGGTTTTCCTCCTACTTCATTGATGGTTCCTTCTCAGTCTCCTTTATTAACTCCTCTTCTGCTTTAAGCCTCAATTTTAAAATACCCTAGGCTGCTTTTTGGTCTTCCAGTTTTTTACATCTATATACTTTACAGGTTATCTTCATCCTAAAGTCACATGACCTTAAGTACTGTTTATTTACTCAGATGACCCGAATCTGTACTTCTAGCTTTGACATTTCCCAGGAGTTCCTACTGATATAGATAATATCTTGAAATCCTCCACCTGGACATTTTATAGTCATCTCAGATTCTCTTGACCAAAACAGAATTTCTTGATTTCCTTCTTACCCCCAATTTTGAAACCTTCATCTCTGTCTTTTCCCAACTCTGTGAATAGTATCATAATCCAATCAGTGTCCTATAGTTTCTACCTCTAAAATCTTTCACATTTTAGTCTAATTTTTTTTCTATAGTCACTACATGGTGTATAGTAGTTCAGTTATAGGATCAGATTGCCTAGGTTCACATCCCAGTTCTCTGTATAGTTTCTGTGGCCTGAGTCAGTTACTTAGCCTTGCTGTACTTCAGTGTTCTTGTTGGTAAAATTGTGAAATTATTAGAACAATGCTGGGACATAGCAAGTATGTATTTTATTAGTCTTGAGTATTAATACTGTTGCTACCACCATCACCATCTCCACTCCCATCCTAGCCCACGCCTCCATCATCTCTTACTGGGGCCATTGCATTAGTCTTCTAATTGTTTTTCTATACTTATATGCTTGTCCTCTACTCACCTGCCCCAAATCCATTCTAACCCATTTTCCATACAGTAGACAGGATGGTTTTTCTCAAGTATAAATTACATAATATTATTCCTAGGTCAAAAGTAGCCTGAGGGCTTTGCATCGGTTATACTTGCTGTTAAGTTCAGACTTACAAAGCCTTAAATCTAGTGCCTGCTGGCCTTTCTTAATCTCATCTCTTACCTCACTGCTCTTTTCCCACTATGATACAGCTGTGCTGCTCATTCTTCCTTGAACGGAGTCAGTTATACCCTCCTCAGGGTCTTTTGTACTGTTTGTTTCATATGCCTGGAATGTGTGTCCTCATCATTCAGGTCTTCATTTAATACTACCTTTCAAAGAGGCCTAGAAGCCACTCAGACAATCTCTGGCTTACCACCCTTGTTTTAAATCTCTGTCAAGAACTTAACATTGTCTAATACTGATATTTGTTGTTACTTGCTTTCTCCACTAGAGTGTTAGTTCCAAAACTCTGTCCCCATGTAAGTTCAAACGGTATCCCCAGCCCACAGTATAGTGCCTGGCTTCACAATAAAGTGGTGGAGAAACTTTTGAGAATACAGTTGCCTTTATTTTTTACTTTATTTGCCAACCTTCTTGATCTGTAGTACAGTGTGCTATATGGACCCAAGTTCAGGAAAACAGTGTGTTCACTTAGCTTTTCAGGTCTTAAACTAGATTCAGCTCCCCATTACCAACTAGCCTCTTCTTTAAGTACATAGTTGAGTTTTCCCAGGGTTTGCTTTACCTATCTGAACATAAAAGATTTGATATAGCTTCTAGTTTGATTTTGCTTTAATATAGCACCCTTTGATGCCTTGTTTTATACAATTCTTAACTACCAGAATACTCTTAAGTGAGCCAAAAGGATTGTTTAAGTAGTTGTCATTTAGTGACATTCATCTTGTTAATGCTTTCGAAGTTACAAAAATATGTAATAGAGCTTGATACCTGTCTAGAAACTAAAGATCATTCATCTCATTTTCAATAGTTAACCCATGAATTTAAGCTAATACAGTATTTTTAGTGTAATCAATGAAGACTGTTTTATGTTACTAGCTTAGAAATTTCTGTAATTAGAGTGGGAAAGGGCAAAAGGGAAAATTATAATTGACAGTGATGAAAGTATGTGAATGGCTCTATGAAATGAAGAAAAACGATACAAGACACTAAAATATGGCACATCTTTTACTCTACAATTGGAAAAATTTCTAAATAGCTTCTTTATTTTAAGCCACAGCATGGACAACACCAACAACACAATACCCTGCAAGGATTTCTTTTTTTGTATTTTACAGCTAGTCCAAATTTTTCTTTGGTAGTATTAACATATTCTTTCGTGCCATTCACTATCATCTCAATATTGTTGATGCTTTCTCCCTGTTCCTCTACTAGAAGAGATATCTGAATGAAAAGGTCTCTTAAATCCTTTATTTGGTTCTCCAAATTAACAAGTTCTTTGTGTCTCTGTTCTATTTCTGAGAGTTGTGCTTTGGTGATACTGATTTCTGTAAGTAAACTTTCATTAAAAACTTCCCATTTTCCTTGATGGAGCATATCATTTACTTCTCCTTCAGGCACTTCTTTCCCAGCAACTTCCAGCTGACGGAAAATAAATGTCCTGCACTTCTCTTGCTTTGCTGCTATTGTGTCGTTGTATATGAACATGATTTGCTGAAAATGGCGAAACATTGCAGCATGCTGAGATTTAAGTATCCTTGTGACCACTGAGGATGGACCATTTTCATCCTCTGACTTTTTAACTTCTTTTACTAAATTATCCAGACCTCTATTAATGTGTTCTGCTTGGATTTTTATCTCTTTTGTAATGCTAGACTCTCTCTTAAGTAGACTAAACCTTCTCATTGAAGCCAACAGACTTTTCTGTTGCTGCCCAAAGTTTTGAATATCATTTGTCAAATTGTTAATACTCTCCTGTAGTTTTTGGATCTCATGTAGGTGTCTCTCAGTTACAGGCTCTCTTTCATAAATAACAGCTTGCTGCAGAAACATCCCCTGTTCCTCTGCTTCTGTAGTTGACACATCCTTGTCTCTAGAGAGCTCAATTTCCTTTGTTCGTTGCTTTAGTTCTTGAAGTCGGTCTTTCATCTTTTCTTTCCTCCTAAGAAGCAAAAATGATTTTGTTGAACAAAGAAAAGTTTGGTATTTTCCCCTAGTAACAATTGGCTTCGCATGGCTATGTCTATGTCTCAGGAAAAAATCCTCCTAGTTTTCTGAAAAGGTGTTAAAAAATTAGAAAAATTAATAAGAATTTCCTCATAATGATCACTGAAATAGGAAAAGTAATGTAAAATATTTTGTAAATTACTTTGCATAATATGAGGCTTCTGTGAGTCCCATTCAGGTGAGTAAAGTAGCTGAGTAAGCAGTGATAGAGGTGTAATTGACCCAAAATAAGTTCTTCAGTGTCATAATACTGCTACATAATAGATTTTTCTTGATATAGGAATATATATATCTTAAAGTAGAAGATTTCATCATATCTTTTTAGGATTAAAAGGCCAGTCCAAATGTGCCCCAGTTAATTTGGTCTATATAATGTTAAAAACATACTCATTTTGCTAAATATGCGTAATTCAGTAAAAACCTATAGTAACGGGGAAGACTCCATATGAGAGCTTTAAGCAATATAGATAAGGTTGAATTGATCTTAAAATTTCTCAGGCTTCCAAATTGATTACACATTATTTGACATAGCTTTTGTTGTCTTACCCATTGCATACATGTACAAACATATTCTTGGTTTGATTATGCTGATTTCTCAATCTTAACATTCCTTTGCAAAGCTATCCAGACTGCCTTAGAAAAAAATTTATATCAATTCATAGTAAGTGATACTTTTACAAACATGGGAATGTATTTATATAAAATCTTATTTTGGGGTCACTGATAATATTGACACTTATATCCTATGTTGGTAGTTATTCATGGATTCAAACTGATGTGCATAATTTGTACATAGTGGTATACATATA